CTAAACTCTAAACTCTAAACTCTTCCTTTCCCTTCTTGCAGAACCTGAGAGCAGCGGACACGGACCCCACTGCTCCCCCATATGACTCCCTGCTGGTGTTTGATTACGAAGGCAACGGCTCCGAGGCCACCTCCCTCAGCTCCCTCAACTCCTCCCACGGAGACCAGGACCAGGATTATGACTACTTGAATGACTGGGGAAACCGTTTCAAGAAGCTGGCTGACATGTACGGAGGGGGCGAGGAAGAGGACTAGGCGTGACTGGAGTGGGGGGGGGCAGAGGGTGGGGGGCAGAAGGCTAGAAGGGAGAGAGAAGGGAGCTGACTCTTGGTGACTCCATAATTTACCCAAAAGTACACAAGGGATCCCCCTTGAAGAAGATTCTGACAATCTCATCTCTGTGGGATAATTATAATCAGTGTGGCCTTCTTGAGTCTGATTCAACGCAACATGGAGTTTCTTTCTCAAAGCCTGGATACCCTCAGGGGGAAAAGGCTTTCCCAGGAAAGAGAAAAGGATTCTGGAAGGACAGAAAGACCCTCCGGTGCTTGGTCTTGTATTCAAGAAGTTTCACCTGAGTGTTTCTACTCTGCCTCCTTGGTCATCTGTCCTCTTGTTTGCTTAAGAAGAACTTCGGGCTTCTTGGTGCAAAATTGTAATGCGTTTTGGAGAATATGAGGGAAAATACGCAAGAAAAATATTTTCTTGAGGCAGAGGATAAAACACGGCTAACACTATGGTCACCTAATAGGACAGAGGTTCTTATTAATGGCCCCGTTGAGAGGGGAGGGGTTCTGCCTGCACAGATCCAAATCCCACAGTCTGGATACGGTGGCTAATTATTGGAACTTTCTCCAGGAAGATCTCCCCAAGCATGGGGTTTCCAAAGCCCTAACCAGAAATACTTCTGGGGATTCTGCTCATGTGCTGCATTTGGTTTCCAAGTCTTGGCTTTTGCTGTTGAAAGGCAGGCTTGTGGGAGTGATGGGGAGGGTCTCCCAGAAGAGAGGCAGGGTTTCTGATTTTTTTTTGCCGCCGTTAGCCAACATGGCTCTCCTCCTGGATGAATCCTTTTAGGATCCCTAAATCAACTTGTCCCAAGTGCCTTTGCTTTCAGACTATGCTTCTCTCAGATGCCCAGAGTCCAATCTGTGTCGGGAAGGCATCTGCAAAACCATCCGGCATGGCCTCTCTTATTGTGGCTTGGAAGTCATGGTTTATGGCTTGGATGATGGCTGTCCACTGCCTTTTTAGAGTTGAATTAACAAACCTGGATTTAGCAGGGACGTTACTCCCCGGTGCCTTCTCATAAAGTGCCTGAACGGGTGGCGGCAGCTGCCTTCCCAGGGCAAGCCCTCCCTGCCCCTTTAGGCTTTTGGGCCAGAGGGGAATTCAGCGGTGGCCCAAAGCCTGGCGTGAGCTCTTCTT